GGATATGTTTATATACTTAACTGACCATACATTTATGACTCTGAAATTTGTTTTAAATGTCATTAGTGTGATTGAAATGCTTGGACATTCATCATCTAACAGTGGTTGGTTAGAGGCAAATGTTGAGTCTTTATAAAAATAAATGATTAAATAGTCTATTAATTACCTTGAAAAAAGAGAATAATGTTTATATAACATCTACATTTTTCATGGAATGTCTCTTCCCACAGTGCTCTGAGGAGAGGAGAAAGGAAGTATGCTCAGAGGTCAGTCACACATGTGACTATCAACTTTTTTTCATTGAGGCATAAAAGACAAATTCATGCTGGATTCATGTATAAACATTGCATCGCCTTCTGCATAAAGTATGCTCCAGGCAGGATGGATGGAGGTGGCAGAACAAAAACTCTCTTAAAGGACTTTTCTGAAAGACTTTCCTGAAGTTCACGTGTGTTTGCTGGTTCCAAAAGTGGGGTCTGAGTTCCAGACAGTTTTGTGAATTTAGTGAAATTAATTCTGTTTTCATTCATTTTGAAAATTTAGTGCACAAATACTCATCCAGGTTCTGTGAAGCTACCTCTTAAAAAAAACAAGGTGAGCAGCTTCTTTAAAAATGTTACAATAAAAGGCTATTTTGATAACCCATTTATCACCATTTATAATGTATCCAGTAAACCAGCAAACATTTGTAGATTCCAGTTTCACCAAGATTTTAAAGTTTATTAACTTTTCTCTGCTTAAACATAAAATTTCAACTCAGCATCTGTCCAAAGTGAAAGTCCAGTGTCGTTCTGACATCAAACTGACGTCTGGTGCCTGCACGGTCACTTCAGTAGTAGAAAAAAAAGAGTTGAAGCGTGAAGAAAAAATGTACAGGAGTCTGGAGGAAGCTTGAAATGGCAGTGCCAGTTTATTTTGAGTGGTCCTTTTTAGATGAAATAAACACTCAGACAGACTCTCAGTAACATAACAAGAGACTTTTGATTAACTTTGTAACTTTCTAAACTTTTTTTGTTTATAATCTGCTGGATTCAGTTGTTTTTCACTTTATTTGGAGGGTCTAGATTCATATCTGTAAATGTTTAACTTGAAAGGTCACTGACCACCTAACAGGTTTAATACAGACCATCTCAACATCCTCCACCAGCTGCTATAGACGCACTGCTGACACCTTTCTGTAACTGGAGCTTAACTGGATTAGGCGTTGGTAAAGGTTAGGGTTAGAATTAGGTTTTGGGTTGAGGTTAAGGTTAGAACTAGGATTAGGACCAGGGTTAGGGTTAGGTTTTGTTTATGAAAGTAACATATCAACAATACATCTAAGTATGTAAATAATGTATCAATGTATCTTCCAAATTTATTCTATATTTACCTCAGTGTACTCAGATGCTGCACTCCTGCTACTTCACTGATATGTTGTACTGATGTGTTACAAATACTGTTATGTTAATAGTTTACTAATCATCAACCAAGGACCACTCAGAATAAAGTGTTACTGAAATGGCCATGTAATGTTAGTACCATGTAACTTTGTAACTCAGATGCTGAACTAAGTTACTTGATTTGAAGCAAATTACAACCAACAAAGAGCCAACATGTTAAAAGACATCATTTCACAAATATTTGTAAAGCATCTCTAACCACACATAGAGTCATGCTTTATACAGGGTACAGTGTGATGAAAAAAATATGATTCATTTTTAAGGAAGCTTTAATAAAGTCATAAATCACTTAAGAAATAAAGCAAAATATTGTTGCACTTGTATGCAGTGGAGGCATACTGCCAGTAGAGGGCAGAACGTGATACTCCAAGGCAAATTACCCAAATACGTAACTTTGGGCAGGACAAAGTGGATATTTATATGAAATTGAACATGTGGAAAAAATGAAATTTTATGAAATTATATGATCAAAATGTGAAGCTAAGCATGTATTACACTCTCAACCCGCACTTTTCTCACAGACAAACCAACGTTTAACAGAGCAGCGCAGATCGTTCCACAACTTAATGTCTGGATATAACTCTACACAGTCTTCATCACCCGTATTACTTGGTTCTCCACTGCGCCAGAACCTGAAACCCAAACACAATCAGGTGCTGGTTAGCAAGTTAGCCTTAAAATTGAGAAATAAGAATCAAAAACAACTAAAGAACTTTGCATATTGACTAATTTTCAGTCCTATGAAGTCCAAATATCTAAGCTCTCTTCACTTTACATTACATTAATGCATTTGGCAGATTCTTTTATCCAGAGTAACTTAAAGTTTACAGAAGTGTTACAGAGATACACCCATGTAGCGTTAGGAGTCTTGCCCAAGGCCTCTTGGTATTGGCAGAGAATCTTTTATTTTCACTACGTGATGTGGCCAAAAAACTGCCTCCCTTGTCAGGAAGAGGCTGTGTGACTGACATGCAAAAGGACCACTCACCGCCAGATGCTTTGGTGTGGCATGTAAACTTTGTTTCTCTTTCAAATGATAAAAAATGTGGAACAGAAGTGTGTATACACAGCAAAAGATATGAAGACAAAATGTAGACCAGAGACCAGAACCACGTTTGTTCTGCATTGTAAACTGTGATATTTGTAAATAGCAAAATTGCTATTTGTGATTTTGTATACTTTGTCATGTTATACGTGGTCTCAACCTTAGATGCTCCACCCACAAGTATACTGAGAGTCTGATATCTATTTTAATCTTAGCTGTGTTCATAGGGAGTCTCCTCTGTTGGCAGTTATCACAGGGTGGTGCATGACATCACACAATCACTGCATTTCAGTGCGTTAGGCATTGTGGGTGTCCTTGTTTGCCAATGCCAGTGCTCAAAACATCTGAAAATGGGTCTGCTGGTGTATCAGTCGACCGGTTCTACACAGAACAATAAATTACACATTACACTCACAGATAAGGCGAATAATGATTATGTTGCATGTCAAGGTCTAGAATATTATAGACGGTAAATGAACAGTCGGTTCTCTTGTCGCAAGAAGACCTGAGCATGTTGACAAGGGCCAAACTGTTATATCTTCGAAACGGCTGGGTACATGTAGGACAGAGCATTTTACTTCAAATCAATTAGAATGATTTTGTTTAAATAGATCATTTGCAAACATTTAATTATGTAGAAAGCTTGAAAAAAATTGTGGAATTCCCCTTTTCCCCATTCCACTAGCGTACACATGTACAGTATTGTGATATGATTTACTCCAAAGCCATTTCTGTTGGTCTGTTCATCATAAAATGTTCATACAATGAAAACAGTTGCTGGTGTTAAAAAAGAGAGAAAGAAAAACGTAGTTAAAGAAAGTTTTTGTTTTAGCTGTGATGAAAAAATATATTTGGATTTTAAATATGACGGATCAGGTAAGGCCGACATGTTTGCAGTGTTTGTTGTGTTAAGACCAGGGGAGTATTTCATAAAGCAGATCTTCTAGGTTAGCCTGGGAACTTTTTAGTGATTTTCCTCTTCACCAGTTTGGCAATAGATCACTGCAGTTATGCATCATTCTGTAGTCTGCATTATGCCCATATTAGGAGCGCCTGGTCTAAGCTCAAATTCTCTATGGCCAGAATGAATAGGGTTTTCAGAAATCGCCTCTATCTCACGCTGTGTTTGTTTTGAGTACATTTTTCTCCCAAATATCACTGGATCCCCTGAATTATGAGGTCGTTAAAGAGCCTTAATACCTATATTGCTACATGCAAGCTAAGGCTGCTGCGCTTCAATTTGACATCACTAAGCTACACAAAACTAAGGCAGTCTATGGTGGTGCTTTGACAAGTTGTGCTGCCTCATCGAAATGTTCTACCATAGCGCATATTTATAGGTAGCTTCGTACATAAGACTCTAGGCAGGATGTTTTGACAGCCTAAATCTCTTTATAAAAAATGCTACCAGTGTCAAAACTATAAGGCTCTTCTTTTTTGCAGCTTCTTTTTCGAGTTTTTCTGTTCCACCTTAAATGATGCGGCAGTTGTTTTTGTGTTTAGCATCACAAACATTATCAAACGGGACAGAACAATACTGACCTGTTGGTTCTGTGAAGCTGCAAAAATAAGTTCATGTTACCAGCTTGACCTCCTCATCCCTTTCATATCTTTCAGCTCTTGCTGAAGCTGAAGTCAGCTTCTGATTCGCCAGCTTCTTGTTTGAATTTTCCCATTTCTCCTTAAATGGTGCTGCAGTTATTATTATAATGTATCTGTTGAACCATTTTTAAAGTAAAAAGGGATGATTTGAACAAGAAACTGGAGAAGATCCATCCATCCATCATCTAAACCGCTTATCCTTCTGGGTCGCGGGGGGGTGCTGGAGCCCATCCCAGCTGTCATTGGGCGGAAGGCGCTGGAGAAGATCCTTATCAGAAAATTAAAAGAATAATAGACCAGCATTAAAAGAATAATTAGGATATTCTGATAGCCTAAATCAGACTATCAGAGGTAAGCAGTAATATTAAGCTGAGTCTGTACTGAATTAGCCTGAGTGTGGGTAACGTTAAGCTTGTACAGCTTGGAGGAAGGGAAAGATCTATTTTGTTTAAGTGAGTATCAGATGAAAAACAGTTAACAGCATCGTAACCTTCATTACTTAAAAGGGAAACTTGGTTCTTTTGTTCTAACCTGTTTTCATTTGCCCTCGGTCTGTACATGGAAATACACGGCCACACTGGCAAAGCATGCTGTTTTGTGTGGCTTTAAGGAGTGAGCCAGTTTAATGACATCAATTTTGTGCACAGCATTATTAACTTACATGTAGCAATATTAATACAGTGTTTCAACTCTTTAACGACCTCATAATTCAGAGGATCCAGTGATTCTTCCAGAGAAAAATGTTCACTGGACAAAACATATCAGCTTTGGAACATTTTTGATTACCACAGGATGGTCATCAAAATGTTTCCCATTTTTCTCGTAGAGAAATTTTTTTTAGACCTAGAGATACATTAGAGCATGGCACCGACTACAGAATGACGACACAACTTCAATGTTCTTGGGACTCTATACTGACACCTAGTGGCAAGGGTGATACAAAGCTTCTATACTGCTCCCGATGTTGTGGAGAGGTAGTCATCTTCTCCTTATTTGACAGTGAAGTGACGGTCTGCGTTGGCAGTGTTGCTCAACGGATGTGGAAGTTAAGTTAATGATAACTACAAGAAATGTTTTTTTTTTTTTTAATTCTGTGTAGTCAATAACTGATACAGCTGTCATAATCAATTTAACCAATATCTGTTCAAGTAACGCACAACAGCTACCAAATGCATCGAGCAGCGCTATGTAATGTTTGTTTGTAAATCATTTTCTATCTTTGCTGTCACTCACAGTTGAAACTGACCTGACTGAGAAAGTGACAGCAGCTGACAGCAGGTCAGCTTATTATTTACTCTTCCTGATTTGGACCAAACACTTTCACAACAATACTAAATGCTGCAGAATGGAACTAGAGTCATGTGGACGACTTCTATTTGTAGGTGGATAAAAGCTTTCGCTCGGGTATGTAGCGGGAATGTTAGGATTAATGCTAGCACCAAAATACTGCTATACTTTGACGCATATTTATACTTTTTTAAAAATTCAACCATGTAACTTTTTAGTCATGTTGACAATGCCAGACAACAAAGTAAGTATTTGACCCCACCTTTCCAGCAGAAAACATAACTTCATCGTCACTCTGAAGTCCTCTGTCTTGTACCCTGGTTCTGGTTCTTTGTGGACGCTGATCTTTCAGTTTTCTTCCTACATTTTATTTCATTTTTCAGACGATGTAACCTTACTTACTGCTGACTCCCCATTGTTTCTGCTGGTAAAGAGTAGCGATGATCCTCCATGATCAATTGTTCCATTCAATATTTAGCAACACACATGTCACCTGTCACCAGGTACTGCATTGAGTAGCCTATGAGAAAGTAACAAGCATAACCTTGGCAGCTTTAACCCACAGCTCATTTTGATAAATTGGTTTCATATGAGCCTTTGATTATTGTGATTATTAAGGTGATTATTCATCTCATGTGAGTCTGTCATAAAAGAGACTTAGACAGTGACAAATCACTTTTATACATAGCATTGTTTGCCTGGAACATCACTTATTTCTCTTCCAAGGCTCCCTGAAGGCCTGTCGAATAGGAGAAGAGCTAAGGAACATTCCTATTGGTCAGTCCTCAAATTTTGCTTAAAGCTATGCTGCTTTGTGAAAGATCCCCTGGACGCTTGCCCAGAGGCCCATGATGATGGTAACAAAGGATTGTGTTTGCATGTAGAGAGCACAGAAAATTTGAATTTAAATAATATTTTCTTCACCAGATTTGAGTAACTCTCATTTGCATGTATATTCTCAGTCTTACGTAGTGGTCAGTGCTGAGCCGTCCACCCATTTCCACGAGCCCTCTGCGTGACTGTCAGTCAGACCAATCCAAAGCATAATCCCCTCAGTTTTGCCTAAAATACTGAAGAGGAAATCCTGTGAAAATGGAAGCACAACATTACAGGTGAATTTCCAAAAAAAAAAAAGAAGAAAGATTTGGTGTGAAATGTTTCATTGTAGAGAACCTCACCAATTCAAATTTCCTTACAGTGGTGGTGATAGGAACCAGGGGTCACAAATAGTGATAAAAAGTAAAATAGTGGTAAATCTGGAAACAATGGTCGGCACAGTTGCGTGCACTTTTGAATTACCAGCCTTTTGTTGCTCTCGTCCCAACTTTTTTGGAACACATTGCTGGCATCAATTTCAAAATGGGCACATTTTTCAAAAGCAATAAAATTTCTCATGTTCAACATTTGATTTGTTGTCTTTGTACTATTTTCAATGAAATATCAGGTTTAAATGATTTGTACTTCAGTGCATTTTGTTTTTATTTGTGTCCCACAGTGTCCCAACTTTTTTGGAAATGGGGTCGTCATTTCTTTCTAGTCAGACCTTAACTTTATCTAGTTGAAATTTAATATTTGCTTTTTTAGACGTGTGAACTGAATTTCTGATATAAGGAATTAAATATTTACTAGTTGAAAATACATTTTCAAATGTGTAAATGTAATTTTTAGATCGAGAAAAATAAGAAGGAAAAGCTAAGCAGTGTGTTATAGTAATTAGAATTTTAATTGTGTGGGTAAAAAAATACGTGTTAAACTTTAATTCATGTCTACATGAATTGGCAAAGACTTCAATTATCACACATGAAAAATGTACAGTTTATTATTATTTTCCAGGCTCTGTGCTGGTGCCTGTTCTCTTTTCATTTTACTTTTTCCCCACACAAATAAAATTAAATTGTCCTGCTGAAATTCTAATTACTATGGCATTGGTCAATATGTGTGATCTCATTTACATGTTGATTATGATTGGCTCAATAATGCAGCATTGAAAAGTGTGTTAATCACCGCCACAGTGGCTTTATGAATAGGTCTTGTTCACTGCGCCGCATATTACTACCAAGTTTTATGAGTCTGGCCCATTGTCTCAGATATCTAGAAATGTATTCATAAGCAATTTGAGTAATTATATTTCTGTGAGGGACCTATAGAGATATTAAGCTTTTCAGACATCTGGTTTCTATCACCACTGTGAACAATTCTGACTTCTTACTTCTCTAGAAAAGAGCATTTCACTTCACAGCATTCTGAATGACTTTATATATAAACAGTTTGTTCGTTTTCTCTCTCTCTCTCTCTCTCTCTCTCACCTGTTCTTCTCTGCTGTTTATGATCACCAGGTCAGCGTCTTTCTGTCTGCAGTACTGTCTGCTATCATACCAGTTCTTATTCTCAAGAGCGATGTAGTAAAGACTGGACCTGAAGTACAACCATCCCAACCCATTTTGTGCACCTGTTAAGACAGAAAATTAAGAGACACTTCCAACCTTGCTCCATGCATTTGTCTATGCAATGAATTTACAATACTCATTGATTTGACAGACATATAACCATCATGAAATTATGAGCATGCGCCCACTGCACATTTCATTACATTATTTCATATTGATTCACATTGCGTAGCTTTTTTTTTTTACCTACCATTTAAGTAAAGATTTTCGCTTGGGCCCTTATGAGATTTTATATTTTAGGTTAGCACCAAGCTAATGGTCCCATATTTCAAATATATGACAAATATTGTCATACATTATATCCAAGTTATTTACTAACGCAGCAGTATTATATCAAAGGTGTTACCCAAAAAAAAATAATAAATTAGGGTTAATAGAAATGACTAACAAGAAGAGCCCTGGGCAGAACTGTGAGCATTTAGGCTGCAGGGGTCAAACCCAGAGCGAAGACACCCTTTGCCTCCAAAAAACGCAGCTAGCATTCCTCACTTAGTCTTCTCAGACTCAGAGCTGTTCCTGGGATTTTTTTTTTACCATCACTTAAATGAGTTTTGAAGTATTTACTCACGTAAGTCATTCAGCTTCTGCTGAAGTCTGTTTTTCTCCTTCTGCAAAAGGTCCATCTGGTTTCTCATGGTGTTGGAGCTGCTCTGTAAGTCTTCCTTTTCCTTTGCTATTTGCTGAATTTTAACCTGTAGCTGTTGTTTTTCAAAAGTCAGGTTGTTGTAACTGGTCTGCAACTGGTTTCTCTCTACAGTCAGGTTGGTGTTACTGGTCTGTAACTGATCTCTTTCTGTGATTAGGTTGTTGTAACTGGTCTGTAACTGGTCTCTCTCTACAGTCACATTGGTGTAACTGTTCTGTAACTGCTGTCTCTCTGTGATTAGCTTGTTGTTACTGGTCTTTAACTGGTCTCTTTCTGCAGTTAGGTTGGTGTTACTGGTCTGTAACTGGTCTCTCTCTGTGATTAGGTTGGTGTAACTGGTCTGTAACTGGTCTCTCTCAGTGATTAGGTTGGCGTAACTGGTCAGTAACTGGTCTCTTGCTACAGTCAGGTTGGTGTAACTGGTCTGTAACTGGTCTCTCTCTGTGATTAGGTTGTCGTAACTGGTCTGTAACTGGTCTCTCTCTACAGTCAGGTTGGTGTTACTGGTCTGTAACTGGTCTCTTTCTGTGATTAGGTTGTTGTAACTGGTCTGTAACTGGTCTCTCTCTACAGTCACATTGGTGTAACTGTTCTGTAACTGCTGTCTCTCTATGATTAGCTTGTTGTTACTGGTCTTTAACTGGTCTCTTTCTGCAATTAGGTTGGTGTTACTGGTCTGTAACTGGTCTCTCTCTGTGATTAGGTTGGTGTAACTGGTCTGTAACTGGTCTCTCTCAGTGATTAGGTTGGCGTAACTGGTCAGTAACTGGTCTCTTGCCACAGTCAGGTTGGTGTAACTGGTCTGTAACTGGTCTCTCTCTGTGATTAGGTTGCCGTAACCGGTCAGTAACTGGTCTCTCTCTACAGTCAGGTTAGTGTAACTGGTCTTTAAGTGGTCTCTCTCTGTGATTAGGTTGTCATAACTGGTCAGTAACCGGTCTCTCTCTACAGTCACATTGGTGTAACTGGTCTGTAATTGGTCTCTCTCTACAGTCAGGTTGGTGTAACTGGTTTGTAACTGTTCTCTCTCTATGATTAGCTTGTTGTTACCTGTCTTTAACTGGTCTCTTTCTGTAATTAATTTGGTGTAACTGGTCTGTAACTGCTCTCTCTCTACAGTCAGGTTGTTGTAACTGGTCTGTAACTGGTCTTTCTCAATAGACATAAGTATGATGGCAACCAGAAAGACAATGCAGAGCAGCTCAAGACACAGTATAGCCAGTCTGTTGCATCTGCTCCTTTTAGTGTTATTCCCTGAAAATAGAAAGAAATTCAGATAATTATTAGACCTTTCAAATGTAGCAGCTGTTCACCTCAGTGTCTGTCTGTGTGAGTTGTAGATCGGAAACAATTCAATCTCAGACATTTTACTATTCACAAGAGAGACGCAGGGCACAAAGTAACGGGGTAAAATGTAACATTTTTCCATGTAGTAAAATAGGTTAAAGTAAAACGTACATCCGGTCATCTTGTTAGCAACGGCACCTGTGAATTTTCAAGGCAGTCACAGATACGTCTCAAGACTCACCCTGAAAACCTATATTGTACTGTGAAAGTACACTTTTCTTAATCTTATTCTTGTATTCTTAACACCTGTCCTATTTTGGCTGCAGTAATAAAGCATATTACAAACTCACAGTGAGAGACTAATGTACAACTTCCACATTGCGCTGCTATTGGCTAAATTGTTCACAATGAGTAGATGCTTTTCATTTGTAGCAGACGTGCAGGCTGTTCATATTAAAAGTATTAATGTTGCTCAAATTATTCCGCAAAACTCAAAATGTGTTTGATTGCGCCCCCCTCTCCTCTACACAATACAATAAGATCATTTAAGATGCTGAAGTCATATTTCGGTTCCTCATAGAGAATAGTTAGAGGTGGGCAATATGGTAAAAATATAATATTACAATCCTTACAGATGATGTGTCCCTCACGACTGACCATCCAGCGTTCACTACACCTTGCTGTTTTCTCACCTGAAAAAAAAACAAATGAAGAGCCACTGGCAGAACGGACAATGCCACTTAGCCGAAATACACAATTGTTGTTGACTGACCCACCCTTAACTAGCATGCATGACGTCATCTAGCTGTGATGTCAGCATCAGTGAGTAATTTGGCTTGGAAAATCATCTAAAATCCTGATGTTATTGCTCTGCTTTTTGGCCTTCATATTCCAACAAAGGGTTAAAACAGCGACATGATTCACACATCCGATCACTCATCAGACTCTGCCCTCACATTCATTCACCTGTGACCATCCATCAGCCAGCAATCCAGCAGCAAAATCACCCAAACCCCACTCGCTACTGTTATCTCTGCTCTTAGCCTTCACATTATAAACGCTATAAAAAGGGCTTTTAGTTTACATTGATTTTGAGTATTAAAAATATCTGATATTAAATATGCAACTCAATTTGTAATTAAAAGTAAAGCCTGCCTTGCTGTGTATAGCACTGAGCATGAATTCAAGAGGACAGAAAATTAATAAAAAACATGTCCGCCTCAAAATAACCAATAGAATTAATCACCATCAACATTATTGCACTTTCAGCTCACAGACACTGCAGACTAACAATTTCTGAAAAGGTATCTGAGGTACCACTTGTTTTCAAGATCATTAAAAAAATACAAACTTTAGCAGGCGCTAGGTAAATTTTTAATCAGAAATGACCCAAATTCATAAAGATAACAAATTTCAAACAATTGTATATCTAAGTAGCCCAGGGTCTCCTGAATATAACAATAAATGGCATGTGTGACTGTCACATGAAAATACTTTACAATTGCAATTGTAATGGACCCAAAAAATACCAAAAATATTCTCCAAAATTTTAGGTTTCTAAGGGTTAATTTACCCTCTCCAGAGCTAGTTATATAAAATAGTCAGATATCAACCACAGGCTAACATGATGCAAATGCTTTCAGACACCAACTGGCTAAACTACATTAGGGTGGTATTTTGTGCAGAGAGATGTGATGTTACTCAGGCTAAACACTGCGTATGTAACACATTTGCTTTAACAAAACTGTGATTTCAGTTTCAAAAAACACTGACAGGACCACAGAATTCAGCTGTTAGCTAATTTAGTTAGCTAGTTATCAAATTCTCACTCTCTCTCTCTGAATTCTCCTCTGTGAATCAAGCTCAGCCAACACAAACCAGATATAACAAAAACAAATCTAGGGCAATTTATATATTAACTAATAGATATTAATATAAAAGGAACTTACTTTGTCCAGTGTTGCACAGGAGGGAAAGGCAAGCTTAAGGGATAATGCACTGCTAAGACGGTCTTCAGTCTTACCCATATTCGATGGCTAGTTGAATGTTACAGATGAGATTTATATTTCCTTACAAGCAAAATGAAAAGCTATGCTATAATGTAAAGCATGAAAGTGGATGAAAATATCAAGGAATTGCAACAAGCTACTGCTATGATAGCTTCATATCGCGCAACCACTGTAATGCATTGGTTTTACAAGAAATAGATGTTTTTAAGGATAACATGATAATACCGTAAGATCACTTGTCAATGTTGTGTGCCAGACAGCAAGTAAATTGTGGCTGCGATGTCACAACACCTAAAGGTTTGGTTGTCTCTTATGTACAGGCAGTTCACAAGCTTTGTGTTATTAGATTAAAATTTCCCCTCTTGAAACATAAGACAATGTTTTTGGTAATGTAGGCTATAATTTTCAAAAACTGCAGCTCTTGTTATTTGAAAATGGCACTCTCTTAATCTTTCATCCCTACCTGCTCCCTGTATAGTGCACTGCGTAGGTCATAAAACTGTGACTCTAAACCCACATCAGACACTGAATGTTAGCTGGAGAGTCATAGCGTTTATAAAATGGCTTTCTGTTTAATATATAATGCACTGTTTGAGTGCAGAAGCCTACCTTTCATAACCTATGAAGTGCACTACATAGGGAAAAGGGAGCCATTCAGCCCAAGTCTTTGGAAAAAACGCAAGCTGTAATAAAGGCAAAGGATGGACACACTAATACTGAACAATTTGATGATATGTTTAGTTGTAGAGGTTTTGGTATGATTTTCTGTTAAATATGTTTTCTGCTGTTTTGCACTGAATAACATACTTAATTGCAGTTATGACTGGAAAAGTAGGATGAAAAAAGAGATGTTTGAAGGATGAAATGAAGGATGTTTTCAGACTTTTGCACTGTACTATAAAGCAACTGATGTAGGTTGTGTGTTGACTAGTTTAGCTTATAGCAAGATGACAGAGATGACTGTCACGCATTCGGCAAGAGGTCAAAGGAAAACGGACTCCATTTCCCAGAATCCCTCGGGAGATCACGTCACGGCACAACGTCCTTCAGAGATGGAGGACAACACGGACTCCATTACCCAGAGTTCTAGGGAAACTCACGTGATCACTGACTCTCAAACACGCTCCTATCAGAGATCTAGTTCCCCTGAATACTGATGTGTCACACCTGTGTAGGATGTCATATGACTCAAGCTGTTTAGTTTATAAGCCCGGGCTTTAGGTAGGCACATTGCGAAGTATTGTTTCCTTGAGAACTACTGAGCGTTTGTATTCATATGACCGATACTCTGTTTTTGACCTATGCTTTGTTTGTCTGGATTCTGCCTCTTGTCTTACCCTTTGGATACTTTTGCCTGTCTTTGCTGACCTGTGTTTTTTGACCCCTTTTTCTGTTATTTGGATTACGTTTTTGCTCTGCCCTCTTTGGATTGTTTGCTTGGTATTTTTTGAATACACTTTGGCCTAGAGTGATTTAATCTACTGCTCTTGTTATTTTTTATCCGCGAGCGTCTGTTTTTTTTTCTGTCAGCACGTTACAATGACATGGACATTTTCACACAGTTTTGAATTTAGTTTTAGGAAGAAACATAAAAATTACAGTAAACATACAATCTGTCAGAAGTATATTAATGTATATTAATTTGAAAACAAACAAAACATCTGCAGGACAAGCTACACTCCCTAACACTGAAGTCTGCTACAGAGGAAAACAATGTTGATGATACATTTTATTACTTTTAATTTCATGAACATTTTCCAGCTCCACTCACAACAATACTACAAGAACTGTGAATTCTGAAATGTAAGGGTGCACAAAATGTGGGTGGACCATAAAGGGTTGAGTGATGCCACAGAAAAACCACATTTGGTTCCCTAAAGAACCAGGTTTGAAAGAGAGTTGTGAGTATGAAGAACCTTTCAAAGACCTAAAGAACTTTCACACAATATAAAGGTTCTTTACTAATCAAAGGCTTCTTTTTAGAACTTTTACATTATCTGGAGGCTTTTTCAACTTGGAAAGAATCCTCACATTCAAACATCTCATTTACAAAACTGGTTCTCTGAAGGACCATCCATCAAAAGGTTCTTTATTGAACCAAAAGTGGTTCTTCTATGTCCAAAGTCCGGCCCCAGGGCCAAATGTGGCCCAGGGACAGATTTTAATCGGCCCCTGGCTTCTGTTTTAGTGTGTGTTATAAGTGTGTATACTGCACTTCTTCCTTCCACCTGATGGTGGCAGTAGTGCTGTAAAATCACAGTGTAACGCACGGCACTGCGGTAACAAAGTTAGCTAAAGTTTAAGAGCCTTCCTTCTCTGACTAGACCTGCAGTTTCATTTACTGAATGCCATTTAGTCCATAAATCTCAAACTAACACTGAGAACCAGAGATTTTGATGGAATTTGGAACTTTTTCATCGAGAGCCGCCGCAAATGAGCCTCAGGAGAGAAACTAAAGCACCAACTTCTTTTCAGAGCAAATTCAAATTCAGTTGAGTAAATATTAACCCTTTAAGACTGAACAATCACGGCAGTGATTTCTGAATAGTTCTGCATTTATTATATGTAAAGATCAAACTGAAAATGTATAGATTTTTACCTATTTTTATCTAGTCTGATCAAATAAACACTTGAATAGGAAAATTTATACATTACACAATACATTGTTAGTCTTAAATAATTTAATAATTTGTTATAAGCGCTGACTGATCCAAATCCAATCCAACAATATAAGAGGCCTTGTGCATCTTGTATACAGTGATAGGAAACACAGAGTCTATGTGTATTTTTAAACTATTTTTTAAAATATTTTGAATAATTTGTAAATAATATTTCAGCCTCAGATATTTTTACACTGTATGATTTGGCCCTCTTTACAAAAAGTTTGGACACCCCTGTTCTATGTCATCACTAAAAGGACCCTTTCTAGAATCTTTACTTTTAAGAGTGTATGCATATGAATATACTGCACCTGCGTTCTCAGATTCATTGGTGCTTCTGGTCATGTGAGTCTTCAGGTTCTCTTCATTTACAAGAATTTCTTCAAACAAACTGTCACAGTCTTCTGAATCAGGTTTGCTGACTTTAGTAATCTTTGACTTTGCATTTATAAAGATATTCTCCCTCATCTCCATTCTTCAGCCTGGTCCTACAGACGTGTGTGAATCAGTTCGGATAGGTTCTCCACAGGGCTTTAACAATGGTTGAAATGTGTCTTTTAAAGTGCTTCTGTTCTTCTGAACGCCTACTTCCTTCCTCCTACTAATTCTGTTTACTGGTGTCCCAATAGGCTACAACATGTCAGATGTCAGGCTGTGGACATGACAAACTGCCCCTTTATAAACTGAGAATTCAAGACCAGAAGCTGGGTATGTAGCCTGTGCTCTGTAAACAAAAGACCTAGATTATTATCTTTGAAGTCAGGGACTGATCATGTTCTTGTGAGGCCTCCCAAACTCTAATAATAACACTAAATAAATACAAGCCCATTTCCAAAAAAGTTGGGATGCTGTGTAGAATGTAAATAAAAATAGAATGCAATGATCTGCAAATAATGTAAACCACATTTTAAAAGAAAATACTACAAAGACAATACATCAAATGTTGAAACTGAAATTTTATTGTTTTTAGAAAAAAATATGCCCGTTTTGAATTTGATACCACATGTTCCAAAAAAGTTAGGACGGGGGCATGTTTACTACTGTGCTGCATCACCTCTTCTTTTAACACCACTCTGTAAGCGTTTGGGAACTGAGGAGACACTGCTGTAGTTTTGAAAGTGAGATGTTTTCCCATTCTTATTTGATATCAGATTTCAGCTGCTCAACAGTTCAGGGTCTCCATTGTCATATTTTTCATTTCATAATGCGCCAAATGTTTTCAGTGGTGGCAGGTTTAGCGCCCGGACTCTTTTAATACAGAGCAGTGCTGCTGTAATACATGCAGAATGTGGTTTGACATTGTTTTGCTGAAATGATCAAGGCCTTCCCTGAAAAAGACGCAGTCTGGATGGCAGCATACGCTGCCAAAACATGTATATATCATTCAGCATTAATGGTGCCTTCACAGATGTGCACGTCACCCATGCCATGTGCACTAATGCCCCCCCTATACCATCATGAAAACTGGCTTTTGAACTGTGCACTGATAACAAGCTGAGTGGTCTTAAGCCCGGAGGACACAGTGTCCATGATTTTCAAAAAGAATTTCAAATGTTGATTCGTCGGTTAACAGGACACTTTTCCACTTCGCCTCAGTCCATTTTGAATGAGCTCGGGCCCAGAGAAGGTGAGAGTGAGCGTTTCTGGATCCTGTTTATATACATTTTCTTCTTTGCATTTTAGAGTTTTAACTTGCATTTGTGGATGCAGTGATGATCTGTGTTCACAGACAGTGGTTTTCAGAGGTGTTTCTGAGCTCATGCAGTGATTTCCACTACAGAATCATGTCTGTTTTTAATGCAGTGCTGTCTGAGGGCCCAAAGATCACAGCCAGCAAATACTGGTTCTTGGCCTTGTCCCTTGCAAACAGAGATTTCTCCAGATTCTTTGAATCTTTTAATGTTATTATGAACTGTAGATAATGAAAAGCAACAGTTCTTTGCTATTTTATGTTGAGAAACATTATTTTTGAATTGTTGCACTATTTGATCATGCAGTCTTTCACAGAGTGGTGAACTCCCCCTCATCTTTACTTCTGAAATACTCTGCCTCTCTGAGTGCTTTTTAATCATGTTACTAACCTTCAGGTGTTTTTTTTTTAGCATTACACAACTTCACCAGCCTTTTGTTGCCCCCGTCCCAACTTTTTCAGAACATGTTGCTGGCATCAAATTAAAAATGGGCAAATTATTTTTCAAAAAGGGAAACTCCTTCTTTGACCATAAGTTGAATGTTGCATGCAATGAAAAGGGGAGTGATGCTGCTTTCAAGAGCAAGTTTGGTGGTTCGATGTGCGACTTAATGCGATTCATGTTCGAGGGTGTTAAATGGTTGTTGTTCACGCTGACTGCTGAAGTAGATCTAAAAGAGTATTAATAGAACATTTTTAAAATTTACATTATTACCATTTATTATATTTGTGTGGTGTTATTTATGTTGACAGACTGTCCACTACTTTCCACCACCATGATGAAAATTTATAAATTTATAAAACCAAAACTTGGAAACAGCATGACACCTTTTTCTGAAGCATGTTTGGCCAATAGGAAAGGTGTCTTCAGAAGACAGTGGCATTATCACCTGTAATAAGACATGAAACGAGCAGGAGCCAGTCATTCTCAGGAGGAGTTACAAACTACACACAGGTAAAGGACATAACAAGGGGACCACACATATAAGATGTATCTCAAAGTTAAGGCTAAGACGAGGTAGGAGAGACCTTCTTAGCACTGGTACAGGAAGACTCCTCTTCATTGCTCACTCATGCACAATCGGGTGGCCTGAACAGTCTGTATCAACATGTCACTGTTTACTGACATGAGCAATGCAGCATGTTCAATTATTGTGTTTAAAAAGTTACATTAAAACTTCATTGCAATCTTTTGTGTTGCAGCATTTCACCTCTTGTGAATATTTCCACTGTTTTCAAACTGTTTGATGGAAGGATACACTAGCTGCATCCTTTGCTTCTCACAAAAGAAGGACGCATCTCTCGACAACATTCAAAGGATCCTACAAAACGGAAGTGCCTTCAGTGAAGTGAGAAATGCAGCTGTCCTTGGCTACAACCTCAGCTCTGAGACATGAGTACCGACACTGACGACAGATGAAAAACACCTGGGGACAATAATGACTCGGTGGGGTTACAAACTGTGAGAAACAGAGGGGAAAACTAGGAGAAAACAATATACAAAAGAAAACGGGGCACTTACCTCCTTACTTACAAAAAGAGAGGTTTACAAGTCTTTAGACAAACTCATACAACAGGCTAACACACCCAATCAGAGCCTTCCAGACATTAACCCTATAGGAAAAAGTGATGAACAAGAAAGAGAGAGCACAAAACAAACACCACATACCCCCCAGGATCGTAACAATGTGTGTGTGTGTGTGTGCTCTTAATTTTTCATGTAAGAATCAAATTACAAGCCCCTTGCTTATCTTGAAACAATGCCAAGAATTATAGAAATAAAGAAACAAAACTCGCTCACTGTTGTTAAACTGTAAATGAACAAAAAGGAACAAAAAGAACAAACTACTGTTAAAATTTGACCATTAAATTCAATACATTAAACCTACTAATATGTTATATTAATAAAAAGGCCCCACAAACCATTAAATCTGCATCTGCTGATAGAGTTAGTCAGAACATATTTATACTCTAAATATAGAAAGCATCGAAAATAAAATATGATCTGTACAGCATTACTGTTTTGTACTTGCTATACAGTATTGATAATATGCAATGATTTTGTGTGAGGTGGGATTTGCTGCCTTCTTAATTCTTTATGCTGCTTCAGTGAAATTCAGCTGAACCCAAAGCTTACCAAGACAACTCAATGAGAAGTGAAACCTCTGTAAGAAGTGTTTTTTTATGATAAGAACTAAAATAGCTGGTGTTGTTGTGCCCTGTGATGACTGCTTCTCTAAGTTCTTAATGTGCTGCTGTGCAAAACCTGTGTAATTCGTAAACCCAAATTTAGTCGTCGCCAATTCCACCCGCTAGTTAGGACTCCCCCAATCACACGATGCTATCAACGCTAGGAGGGTGAAGGGTAGCACAGGCTTCCGCCGAGACCTGTGAAACCAGCCACCGCTTCTTTTCGAACTGCCGCTCATGCAACGTCATTGGACAGCCGAACGCGCTCGGAGGAAAGCGCCAACCGCCAGATCTGTTACGTCAGCCAACACAGCTAGCAGACACCATTGGAATTCAAATAAACCACAGTTGCTGTCAGTAAAGCTGGAGCAGTGGGGAACTTTAGGTTCATCGGTAGATAATTTTGAGGACAGACATAAGCCGTGGGAAAGTGCAGCATGAGAACAGGCCTGCGTGAGTCTCACAACCAATGCGTGACAGTTCGCAGCCCTGAAGTAATTGATTATACTGCTTTTCTTGAGGTTCACTGAGTTCAAACCTCTTCAAAAAGTTCTTCATCTCAGTGAGGTAAATAAAATAAAATTTGTTTTTTAAACTCCCCACTATTTTCCCCACTAACTGTTACTCTTTCCATCACACAATCCCATCAGACATTTTTTCCTCTTGGGTGTTCACTTACGGATGGCTATGGCATTGCTGGATTTCAAACTCATGATATCCTGTTGGGGTGATGTCTCAGTCCATTGCACCAATCAGTAGTGTGAGTAGCTCAGATTTTGTGTCCATAAATGTTTAATACCTGGTAGAATATATTTGTTGTAGAGGTGTCCTTTGGCTAAAGGTCTTAATTGACTTGTTAGGACTGGCTAGGAAGGTCATTATCATTGTCATTAGTAGTCAGCTGATGACAGTTCCAGAGCATAATAAATTCTTTGACTCTTCAAGTCTTGTGTTCACACTCAACGATTACAGGTAATCATCCTTTAAGCAGCTGCCTGAGGATCTGAAAATGAAGCCATTTGGTGCCATCAGAGCAGAGGCTCTTCCAACTTCCAGCTCAGAATTTCCACCGTCCAAAATGTCAATAAGCAATAGCACTTGAGGGAACTGTGGTAGTCAAGGCAAGATTGAGAAAAACAAGGAAACTCTCAGCTACAGCTGCTCGTATGCTGGCCATAAGGCAAAGCAAAACCCCCAAATGACAGAAAAAGACCTGCAAAAAACATTTAGCTGAGACAGAAGTGGTGTATGCAAAAAATCTAGATAAACTAAATGCACTTTAGAAAAATCTGCTGTGGACTGAAGTAAAAATGCAACTCTCTGGCCACAATCACCAAAAATATGTTTGCAAAAATAGAAGTCACAGTATTTGATGAAAAGAGCACTGTGCCACCTGTTAAGCATGAGGATGGATATATTATGATTTGGGGTTGCATAGGTGTTATTGGCACATGAAACACTCCACAGGTAGATAGAAGAATGGATTCCACTAAATATCAGCAAATTCTAGATGCAAATGTGACTCAAATTGTCTGATTTCTACAATAGGACAATGATCCAGAACATATCTCGAAATCCAACACAAACTACTTCAAGAAGCACAAACTGGAGCATTTGCAATGGCACCTAGAGTTCCCTTAAACATCACTGAAAATCTGTGGGTTGATTGTAAACATACTGTTAATATAAGTTGACTAAAGAACATTACAGACCTATAAGTGTTCTGCAAGGAATAGTGGGTTAAAATTCCTAAAACAAGAACAGAAAGACTCCAAGCTCTCTACAAAAAAATGTTTGCAAGCTGTAATATCTGCCAAAGGGGGTTTTATTGAGTAGTGTCTCAGAGGAGAGATTGTCTGCAGTCTGAAAAGCCAAAAGCCACAAGAAATCCAGTCAGAGTACATGTACAGAGTACAGAGTACATGTGTTTATTTCATCATTGAGTCAATGGAGCACATTCACATATTCAAGCTATACATAGAAACACAAAGCTTTAAACAGATGTAGGGGACATTTTTTTTTTCTTTGTATATTCAGCTTCAGTAAAGAAGTATCCTCTTTGCTGTCCTACTCTAATGTCATGTTCCATTTATGTTGTAGATGCTAAGAAAAAATCAGGTGTATAAAATGAAAATACAATGTTGTGAAATCATTCAGGTAGATAGTTGTGGTTGTTAAATAGGGGTACATGCCAACATCTAAGCTCATAAATGCAGCTGGTTTGCTAAGTGCCCGTTCCTCCCTGGTCAGTCTACCCACAAGTGTTTCATTACTATCCAAGGTGGATATACAAACAAATCTAGTCTGACCATCCAAATTGGACTTGGGTTAGGGTCAGGGTTATGTAACTTTAACATTTCAAGACTACAATTCAGATTTAAGAAACAAATGTTCCCTACAATGTGAACAAATTATCCTGACCAGCAAGTATGCTCGAGTAATGGCCCCACAGGGGTAATACAGGCCAAGTAAACACACTTTCCAGGTCAATTATTTTGGCTGAGTTAAGCATTCCAGGAATCTGGAAGGGAAGTTGAACTGAGGAAAGAGGGGCTTCAAGGGTGGTTTCACTTTCAGTTCTTTTTCAATGAACCAAACTCAGTGGTTTCAAAGTCAGCCTTAATGGGAACAGCTGCTGTTTGTGTTCACAATTTACATGAGCATTAAAGGGGATGTTCTCTCTCTGGCCCTATGTAGAACTGATGAGAACTTTCACAATGGGCTGCTCGGGTTAGATTCAGTGAGTTTATTGGGTGGCAAAGGAAAACTCTAAACAGTGTTGCATATATTAAAATGCATTGAATTTACTCAATACAATTACTGCTGAAAGTACACTAAAAGACAAAATTGAGTTGATGTTTTTTCTTCTCCTATATGAGGAAATGATGTAAACACTTGAATCAAGTAAATTAAATGCATCACATTTGTTTCCAATGCATTAACATTAATAATGATGCCTCAGCATAAAATAAGATGCGGGAGACACTGTGCATGCAGGCAAATTATTATGGTTCTCAGAAGAAACTCAGAGACATTAAGGTTCTGGTACATAACTAGGCTTTATTGAAAACTCTGCTCAAAGAAAGCAGTTACAACTGAAAACAGCAGATCTGTGCTTAGCCTGACCAAGACAGCCCAGCCTCAACTTAGCCCTCCTTTTTTAACTAAACTGTGTGAAGTTCCTGTCAACAACACCAAAGAGTCCACCAAAAAAATGCATATGACCTTTTAGGACAGAACATATCAGTCTTTGAAACACTAAACTAAAACCTGAGCATATACTGTCACCACTTTGCCCCTGCTTTATTCAAGAATAGTGAGCTGCATTCTAGTACCAGGACCCTACCTGCCATTTCGCACAACAGTAGTGCTTACAGTTGACAGGGGCAGATCTAGCAGGGCAGAAAATTCACAAGCTGGCTTGCAGCAAAGGTGACATCTTATGACAGTACCATGTTTAAAGATACTGAGCTCTTCAGTACGACTCATTCTACTGCCAGTGTTTGTCAATGAAAACTGCATGATTATGTGCTTCATTTTATACACCTGATAGCAAAAAGTGTGGCTGAAACACCACAACTCAATAATTATGAGGGGGGTCCCAATATTTTTACCCATATAGTGTATCTGTCTCTCACAGAATCAGCCATGGGTAGTATCTATCTCTCTCTATGTCTCTCTCTCTCTCTCTCTCTCTCTTCACAGGCTCTCAAACACACATGCACACACACATATATAATAATTAAGTATAAAACCGAAAAGACAACATGCAAATTTCCGTGCATGTTGTCTCTTTACTATATACATTCTTTATCCCCTGTAGAGAAAACCTGCAGCTGCAGACATATATTACAGTACTGAAAGTTGCTGTGTGTATACAGGATGTTGCAATCACTTTTTATTTATTTTTTGTAATGGTATATTGCAATTCTGAGCAAACTAGCTCATGAGAGGAAAAAGAGGGGTTCCTTCCCTTTACTGCTGTGCTGCATTAACTTTAAAAACTCTACTGTACGATCGCACAGCATTATTATATCATATCATCTTTTTTATTTTTACACTGTAGCTTCAAATAACCAGTCTGTTTCAGTAAAAGATGTATAATGTACAAAGATGTATTTCACCAGTGTACTTACACAGGAACACACTCACTATAACCTACCTATCAGAATTATATCAAAATATGTGAGCAAAAAGGAGATGAGTAAGCACTTTTTATTCAACAATTACTACAGAAAACATGTAAAAAGAGGACATCCAGAATGTTCATTTGAATTTGTGTAATTTTTATGACAAGGCCCAAAGCATCTGTTCAGGAATCACTTTCTAAGCAGGCTGAAAGCAACAGTGGCATGAAAAAATTGAAGCAAAACTCAAAAGAGGAACCCATCCATCTGTACAGAATTGTGGAATTAAGGCAAAAATGAAAATTATTGATGTTAACAGTAAAAATGAATAATAACCAACACTTCTTAAGATAAAGTGGTGTACATGGGCAACAAGAACACAAAGGCATATAGCCTCCTGCATCAAAGTTGAGAGCTGCCATCCTACAGCTTATCTATGAATCCTCAAAGTATTAAAAAAAACATCTTATGACTCTCAGTCAGGTATAAACAGCACTAGAGTTAGGACCAGCCATGGGGTAGAGCTTAGGTTTAGGTGATAGGATGGGTTTAAGGTTAGGGTTAGAGAGAGCATTTGATTTAAGGTTTAGGGAAAAGTTACAGTGCTGATCAAAAGTACAAAAGAGACCATCCCTCATTTATCTGAAGTTGTGCATCAGGTAAAAGGCACATATTTAATACATACTTAACAGGAGCCTCCACAACTAAATCTAATATTGCATTTGCCTTTATTACAGCTTCCATTCTTTTCAGAGCAGTACAGCTGTGGATGCCTTATTTTAGGGGCACCTCTCAGTCTTGAGTTCTTGCTGCCACGTGCACAGTACTCTGACTCAGCTGGCATTCTCTAGTCTCAAGTTCTGAGTGTCTCCCTGATTTTGAGTTTGTGCCTCACGAAGGGAGAGACACCTGGCATGTAACAACAATTCGAGCGTGTAATCCTCGATAAACTGCAGTCTGAGTATATAAACCTGGATTAACCACATCCTGAGTATCTAATCTGGATTAATCATAGTCTGAGGTTTTGTGAAGCTGAAACTCAAAGCCTGTTTGAATTGAACCTGCTTTGTTAAACGGCCCCATATCTAGTACTTCTTGAAAACAAATGGCATAATGTTAATATCAAAAAAACTTACCTTTTTATGTTTAAGCTCTTCATTCTTTATTCAGTGCTAATTTTAGTTTTTAAGTTAGCTCACAGTAACCAGTCCAAAGTGCTGCCCTCTCCAGCTTTGGCATATTTAAAGTGTGTTACAATTAAAGGGCTTTATTTCAAAACATGCCACTGACCACCCAGAATATACAGTCCATATATGGAACCTAAGCTGCAAAAATAACTCATTTTGTATTCATTGTTTCTGTGATGTCACAAGAACCAGTTCAAATCTACCTTTTTACAAGTTATAAGGGTTGTTTCAGCTCTGATTGGTTTTTGAATGAAGGACAATACAGGGCAGCCAATCAGAACACAGATCATTTACACATAACAGTCTGGTGCAAACGCCACTGGACCTAAGAATGACCGAAACTAACATGCTGAACTGTGCTGACATACGCGGCCCACAGAAGTTTCTTTTTGCACATGCAGTTTCTTTGATGAACTCTTAATTTAACTAGGGATAAATGTAAAATAATTGACAACTTTTTTTGTAGGCATATGTAACTTTAAGCGAAGCTCCTCTATGTTATGTTTTATTGTGTCTGTGTTTGTAGGAGTGTGTGTTCTGAAAAGCATCACTACTTCTTTATTCCTACCATTTAGTTGTCTGGGTAAAATATATTGTAGGGATAGAGAACAAAGGAAATGAAAAACAATGAAAACAAAGAGCCTCAACTAACCGTGCAAGAATTATAATACTGATCATTATAAATAAATAAATAAATAAATGAATAAAATGTGGTATTATTATTATTATTATTATTATTATTATTATTATTATTATCTTCCTTTTCAAACATTATAATGCAGTCTTTCAATCCACAGCTTTATCACATCATTAAAGCTATAAAGAGATCGACAGGCCTGTGAATCAATAAGACAGACAGTCCAGTCTCTCTAGAAGGGATGCTACAAATATTGTTGGCTTTTGTTTGTTTTTGATATGCTACAAAATAGGAACTTGGACTTATTCACCTTCACTTTCAGGGCATCCAGACTTCCTCAAACATGACTTTGCTAGCTTTGCAATACAACTCAAAAAGTGCCCTTTCACTTTACATTCCACATAGGTTTGGCCCCAAGGACAAAAATGGCTTGTTCTGGATGTGAATGGCAAACTACAAAATGACACAATGACCACACATCCTCAGAGGTTTTTGCTGCAGGAGACAGAAGCTTGAAATGGCCATTTAATGTTACTGTGTAACTTTATAATTCAGATGCAGAACTTCAGTTTGTTACAGATTATAACCAACAGAAAACCAACACGTTACATCACTAGATAAACATCTGAAAGGCAGCTCTAATCACAAACAGAGTCATGATGATTTATACAGTGTACAGTGTAATAAAAAAAACATAATTCATTTTTGTTATAATAACTTATGAAAAATAAAGCTAATCATTGTGTGGGATGGTGAAATGACAAAGAGGGTTTTTATATGATATTATCATTGACCAAAATGTGAAGATAAGCATGTATTACACGATCACTCAGTACGTTTCTCACAGATCCATTGTTCAATAGCAGAGCATTTCCGGTCATTCCACTTCTTATTAAATGGATAAAACTCTACGCAGTCTTCTTCACCTGTATCATTTGGTTCTCCATCACCCCAGTACCTGAAACCCAAACGCAATCAGGTAGGGGTTAGCAAGTTAGCCTTTAAATTGAGAAATGAGAATTGAAGACTTCTGAAGAATTTTATAGGGACTGATTAGTAGGAAATCTGTAAAGTCCAGGTCCATTTAGGCTCTCTTTGCATTACATTATATTTCCAGACACTTTTCTTACCAGCTCAACACACACACCACATCAGCGTCACTGCTAAGAATGATCCACCACCCAAACAACACCTGCTCTGTTGCTGTTCTATGGGGTCCTGACCACAGAAGAACAGGGTAAAAGGGGGCTAACAAAGTATGTAGAGAAACAGATGGACTACAGTCTGTAACTGTAGAAATGATATGTATATATTTAGTGGGGCTGATAAAAGGGACAATGAGCATAGAAACAAGGAGGTGGTTTTAATGATGATAGTCTGTTTATTTGTTTGTTTATTTATTTATTTGAAGTGATTTTGTCCTGGGGGGTACTTCACAAAGCAGGATTTCTCGGTTAGCCTCATAACTTAAGCCAAAAAAATAAAAAATAAAAAAGCCTGTCCAGTAGGAGAAGAGCAAGCAAGAGAAGATCCTGTTTTGTGAAATAGCCCTTGCACATGATGGTCACAGAGGACTGTATTCACAGCAGTGTTATTCCATTTTGGAATAATTCACTATTAATCCCCTAATCTAAACTTTACAATACTGTTTCTTTCACCAGATGTAAGTAACTCTCATTTACACGTATAGTCTCAGTCTTACCCAGTGGTCAGTGCTGAACCGTCCACCCATTTCCACCTGCCCTTTGTGTCTCTGTCAGTCAGACCAATCCAAGCTATAAAGCTTTTAATACTGACTAGAATATTAGCAAGGAAATCCTGTGAAAGTGGGAGCACAACATTAAAGGTGAATTCCAGAGTTTTCAAACTTCTGCATTACACAGTCACTGAGATGTAAACAAACTCATTCAGAGTGATTTGGTGTGAAATGGTTCATTATAGAGAAGCTTACCGACTCTTTACAGTGGTGGTGATAGAAACTAGGGGTCACAATGTGACTGCCCAAAAAAATAAACAATACAAACCACAGCCAGTGCGGAAGACTCTCACACACTACAGCAATGCAGCATTTAAATACGCTATTTCACGTTATGTCACATCACGCTGTTCTGTTTATTTCACATTTTATTCTTTCCAGTCATCGTAATTTAACACTATACAGTAGGGGGAACAGTGCACAGCCATTGGCTCAGGAGTCACCAAATGTTGTAATTTAACTGGCTCCCAACTGAAACATGTGCATGAATTAGGGCGTGTTTCATGTAAATGATATGTAAATGAGGTACTGGTGGGCTGGCGCTTGATTTCATGCACTGATCATCATTTGTGGTCAAATCTCTGCTCGTTTCCACATCATACAAAAGTGTCCATACCCGAAAATGTATTCATACCCACTTGTGTAATAACTTCCTGTAAGGGAACTTTTAAAGACATTAAACTCTTCAGACATTTGGTTCCCATCACCACCACTGTGAACAGTACTGACTTGAAAGTTTCTCTAGAATGGAGCATTTCACATCAAAGCACTTACATCTTAACCTTTTAGTAACAGAATTAAATGAAAAATCAAGTTTCCTTTTAAAATATCCAGATGAACAACAACAATTCTGTCTCTCACCTGTTCTTCGCTGCTGTTTATGATCACCAGGTCTGCTCCTCTCTCTCTGCAGTACTGTCTGCTATCATCCCAGCTCTTCTTCTCAGTAGAGATGTAGTAAAAACTAGACTTGAAGTACAACCATCCCGTCACATTGCATGTATCTGTTAAAACAGAAAATTAAACGACGCCCTTATATTTCACAGACTTACAATCATCAAACAAGTATAAGCATTTTATATAATAGCTAATGGTGGTTTGCTTTCATTTGCACACATTAGTTGTAGCTTAAATACAGACATTTGAAGCTTCAAGACATTCAAATAACATTTTCTACTTTTAATGTTAGTTAAACTTTCAGTAAATGTTTAAACTTCACTTTCTGAAAATTGCTGGTGAAGCCTTTTTTTTAGCTTGTAGCCAAGCTGGTCAATCTTCACTGTAAAAAGTGGAACAGTGCACTAGTTGATTGGAAGTGTTTTTTTAAAACAGCATTATGTGAAAATCGGCATTTTCTGCTTTTGGGGAGTGGTATTCCACTTTTACACCACTGTTGTAAATACAAATCACGCTTTGAGCTCCCCTCAAAAACAGCTGTACATGTGCATTTGTTGATGAGCTGAAGGATACAGAATCTGACACCCCTTCATGTGCACATGAATGTAATCTTGTAGCGTCCATATGCCTGAGTGACACGCGTGCATGTGAAGGGGAGTCGGATTCTGCCAGGTAGTCTAAATTTTGGCACAACACCGGGAAAGACAACATTAGAAGGTAGAGTAATATTACAGTACTTTATTACAGGAGGTTGCAAACTTTCAAGGCTTAAGACTGACCAAACTTTTAGGCATTTTCTTTGCATGCTAGCCTGAAGCAGGACTGAGGTTAGATGGCTTTTGGCATCCAGGGAAACTACAAAACTAGTACAGAATTTATATTACCTTGTTAATCTTACCCATGTAATCATTTTCTTTTAGAAAACTTTAGGGCTCTAAATGAGTATGCAAAGTTTGAACTGCATGTTTTCCTTTTATTTATGATTTCTTTTGTTCTCTTTGGTAACAATGATATTGTGATTGAGTTACTCATTATCAATATCTAGACACTATATAAAGTGCCTATTATGTCTCTTTTAATATATTTGTTGGTTCAAGATAGCATGACGTTCAAAATGTCTGTTATAAAACATAATCTAATTTTCTGTTTTTGTTTTTCTTGGTTCTGGTATTTGAGACGTATTTGTCCCTGATACCTTTCATTTGTTCTGTTACTGTGAATCAGACAGTGGAATTCTTGTGCCCATAAACTGTGTACCACCAATCAGAGCTGTAGATGGTGAATAGCTAATCACCATTATGTGAGAAGGGCCTATGAGCGCTCTGGCTCCACCCCAAAAGGGGATGGCCTAAGGCCAGAGAAAATCCGAGCGCAACAGATTTTTAGTGAATCAAAGAAAACAAGCAGAGAGAAGAGAAAGAAGAGACTGTAAGGTAGTGTATAGAACGTTCACTATCAGATCCGAGAAACGTGTCTTTTGTTCGTCTATGTGTTTGTTTTCATTTGTTTGTGTATGCTTTAAGCCCATTCAAGCCACACTGAGAAAGAAAGCTGAAGAAGTCTGTCATACAGCCAAAGACAGAGTGATTTGACTTCATCTCAGCACTGAGTTATTTTAGAGGTAGCAACATGCAGCCCCAAGATCATATTCAGAACCGTCGCCCAGCTGAGCCTCAAATTCCAGCCTGGTTCAAGAGCTTCAGGACTTCACTCGCCATACCGCAACACCACCAGCAACTTCATCCACTCACGCACTCGCCGTAGCCAGTAGGCTCGTCACCGGGAAAGTGTTGAAGCCTTCCTCCTGTGGCTGCAGTGGAGTACGGCCAGCCTGGTCTTTGACTGAGGCTGCTACGAACATCTGCTTGCCCTACTGCTGCAGTGAAGCTGCTTCAGTCAAAGCAGACCACATTCACAGAGCCATCTGTGAGGGTTGTGACTCACCAGTTTGGGAAAGAATTGTTCAACAGTTCAAAAAGAACATTGCTCAATGCAAGATTTCAAAGAAATTCACTGTGTATGATACATAATGTTATGAAAAGATTCAGGGAATCCAGAGAAATCTCAGTCCATGTAGGGCAAGGCCAGAAAACACTGCTGAATGTGTGTGACCTTTGAGCCCTCAGACAGCAATGCATGAAACCATCGTGGTACTGTATTAAATATAGCCACATGCGTTCAGGAGTACCGCTAACATCACGAAATGCAGCTTGTACCTCTATAACAAAGAGAAAGCTATACAATTCTATGCAAAAATGCCACAGAATTTCTATTCCTGAGCTCATCTCAGATGGTCAGAAAGACAGTGGAAAAGTGTGACGTGGTCCACGTTTCAGTTTGTTTTTGGTAAAAACGGACATCGAGTTCTCCGCACCAAAGATGTAAGGGATAATAAAAACCTTTATCAGCGAAAGGTGCAAAAGCCAACATCTGTCATGGTATGGAGGTGCATCAGTGCCCACAGCATGGGTGACTTATGTGTGAATGTACCATTGACGTGGCGGTGTCTATTGGGATTTTAGAGAGACATATACTACCATCATTATGACGTCTTTTCCTGGGATGTGCCGGCTTGTTTCAGCAAGACAGTACCATGCCTCATTCTGCACATGCTACAACAGCATGGCTTCATAGATCTGCAGTCCAGATCTGTCTCCTATTGAAAATGTATGGCACATCATGAAGATGAGAATCAGACAACGACGACCACGGACTGTCGAACAGTTGATGTCTTATATCAAGCAGGAACGGACAAACATTCCACTTGCAAAACAGCAACATTAGAATAAGAATTAAAAAGTGTAAATAAAAGGAAAGATGATGTAACACAGAGGTAAACATGCCTCTGTCCCAACTTCTTTTGAGTGTGTTGCAGGCATCAAATTCTAAATTTGTTTAGATTTGCAAAATACAATTAAGTTGATCAGTTAAAAACATTTTTGTCAGTTAAATAAAGGTTCAAGATAATTAACAAATCACAGATTCTCGTTCTTGTTTCATTTTACAAAATGTCCCAGCTTTTCCAGAAATGGGGGTTGTAAAAGCCTCTAAAACAATTGGGTTTGTTTATTAAGCCTTTCTCTTTTTCTTTTGTTTTACTGCCATCAGGAAAATGGTAAGTTAGAATTGTAAGTTTCTCTGGTAAGACTGGAGTTTACGTGATGAGTGTTGGTTTATTGTTGCCATAAATGCTTTTCTTGATTCTAGCTGATGGAGGCAAACTTGAAGTCTCATGCTTCAATTCTTCTGAAATAAAATAAACCAAGCATAAGCATCATGACAGATATTTGATAATGTTGCTGTATATCCTATTTACATTTGATGCCATTCTGGTAAGCCTATATCAGAAAACAAATCCATTCACATAAAAAGTAAGCCTCTGCATTTAGACTCTCCATCTGTCTAAGTCATATGACTCGAGTCTACACATCTGTAGACCTTTGTGGGCTGCCTCCTGCTTTATTTTTTTGGATGTAATTCTTTCTCATCTAAGGCCCTCTACAAGATGTGTTTATATTAAGAAGTAAACATCGCTGAAATAATATCTCTACAGTGCTTGAGCTCATCTTTATTCTCATGTTTCAGCACAAGTGAAGACTCTGCACCCAAAGAGGCTTTACAATCATGTAAACTTAAAGAATGCATTATGGGTGATTACCATCCTCTCTGCTCTCAGACTCAGAGCTGTTCCTGGAACAGCTGTGTATTTCTTTTTCTGCCACTTTAATGCGTTTTGAAGTATTTACTCACGTAAGTCATTCAGCTTCTGCTGAAGTCTGTTTTTCTCCTTCTGCAAAAGGTCCATCTGGTTTCTCATGGTGTTGGAGCTGCTCTGTAAGTCTTCCTTTTCCTTTGCTATTTGCTGAATTTTAACCTGTAGCTGTTGTTTTTCTATAGTCAGGTTGGAGTAACTGGTCTGTAACTGGTCTCTCTCTGTAATTAGGTTGGTGTTACTGGTCTGTAACTGCTGTCTCTCTATAGTCAGAGGTATGATGGCAACCAGAAGGACACCGCAGAGCAGCTCAAGACAAATTCTAGCCAGTCTGTTGCATCTGCTCCTTTCAGTGTTATTCCCTGAAAATAGACAGAAATTTAGACAACAACATGGATTTCATGTCACAACCTCAGTGTCTGTCTGTGTGAGTTGTAGATCGATCAAATCTCAGACATTTCACTATTCACAGGTGAGCCCCAGGGCACAAAGTAATAGGGTAAAATTTAACATAATTTTCCATGTAGTAAAATAGGTTAAAGTAAAACGTACATCCAGTCATCCTCTTAGCGACGGCACCTGTGAATTTTCAAGGCAATCACAGATACGTCTCAAGACTCACCCTGAAAACTTATATTGTACTGTGAAAGTACACTTTTCTTAATCATATTCTTGTATCCTTAACACCTGTCCTATTTCACAGTGAGAGACTAATGTACAGCTCCCACATTGCGCTGCTATTGGCTAAATTGTTCACAAGTAGATGCTTGAAACAAATTTAACATTTTCATTTGTGGCAGACGTGCAGGCTGTTCATATTAAAAGTATTAATTTTGCTGAAATTATTCCGCAAAACTCAATGTATCTGCTTGTGCCCCCCTCTCCTCTATTCAATACAATAAGATCATTTAAGATGCTGAAGTCATTATTCGGTTCCTCATAGAGAATAGTTAGAGGTGGGCAATAAGGTAAAAATATAATATTACAATTCTTCAAAACGTTTTCACGAACGTGACTTTAACAATGTTATTTTTTCTGACATCTGATAAGTTGGAACAGACAAATAGTGCCATGTGTAAAAAAATACTATCAAAAACTGATAAATATAGGGATTTGTATTCAACATTTCACACATTGTGCAGCACTAAATACAATTAAACAGGACTAATTACTGTATGCTCTCTTTGTTGTCAAACATGCAGTTGGGAAGTGCCGTTTAAGCACTGACCATATCCACGATATGCTCAGAGAACCATATTGCGACATCACGATAGCATTAATTATCGTCATATTGCCCACACTGTAAAAAATTTCACTGCAAACGGTAAAGAACTGGCAGCAGGGTTACCAGAATCTTATTGTTAAATTAAGGGTATCCTACTGTTGTAAAAATGTATGGTTTAATACCATTTTTTACAGAAACAGGATATAACTGTAATTTAGAATGTTTACAGTAAAATACTGCTAGAGGTTAACAATCCATTACCTTTTTTCAGGGGGGTGCATTAACTTTCCTGACAGGTATAGCTGCTGATTTTTACTGTAATGATAAAAAACATTGTTGTTTTACTGCTTGTTAATCTTGCCAGAAACCTAACATGTATGAAAAAGTACATTATTTCAGTGAACAGTTGCCATGGCAATTTAAATCATTTTGACTTAAAAAAATGAGACAAATGCAGAGAATATCTTGCAAAATGTGTTGCTTTATTGTGAATAAAGTGTTGATGATTCCACTTGCAAACCTTGCACATTTTTCACATCAGAAAATGTAATTTCAACATAGGAAACTCCTCCACAGTCATCTGTCCCACCTGTGTGTTATCTGTAGCCTCATCCTCTCATCAGCCCCAGGTGTTTCTCATGTGTTCTTTTGTCTGTTTATTCCCCTTGATTTGGGCTTTTCCTTGCTTGGTGTTATTTGTAGTATGTTTGTAGTGTCTTTGGCTGATTCTTAGTTTGCTTATTCTTTTGTTTCTGGTTCTTTCTTTGCTACTTTCTCCATAGACAACAATAAAACTGCTAGATCACACACACATCCTGCCTTCTCATCTCCATGATACAACAGCTGTGACTACTTTTACTTTATAAGCATCTTCAGCTGGCAAGTCAACATAAAATGTGACCACAAATTTCCCTCTTCTCGTTTCACTTATTATTAAAAATAGATTAAATCCTATTATTAGTAGACTGCCTGTACTGACTGCTGTATGTAGAAAACACAGAAGCAAGCCTGGATAAGAAAGTTGGCTGTATGCCCTTACAGATGATGTGTCCCTCACAACTGACCATCCAGCACTCAATACAGCTTGTTGTTTCTCACCTGCAAAAAAACAAATGTAGAGTTGACCACTGGCAGCAAGGATAGTGCCATTTTGCTGAAATACAAAATTGTTGTTGACTTATGCAGATTCTTTATAAACATAGCAAGCAGTAGCAGCTGAGGAGTTGCCAGTAGGGTGAGCATCCTCTTCATGTCTGCTGCGGCGGCAAACAACTAGAGCACGTCAGTTTGATTGTTTAGTTTAGGCAGAATAACAACAGCATGCACTGCACGCATGTGTCTGTCCCTCACTGAAGCTTTAGCACTGAACAGATCCCTTAATTTACTCTTCAGAGTTAAAACTAGTAATGTAGTAACACTAGTAACTAGTAATACTAAGTAGATGCAGTGTTACTCAGGCTAAACACTGCGTAAGTAACACATTTGCTTTAACAAAACTGTGATTTCAGTTTCAAAAAACACTGACAGGACCACAGAATTCAGCTGTTAGCTAATTTAGTTAGCTAGTTATCAAATTCTCACTCTCTCTCTGAATTCTCCTCTGTGAATCAAGCTCAGCCAACACAAACCAGATATAACAAAAACAAATCTAGAGCAATTGATATATTAAATAATAGATATTAATATAAAAGGAACTTACTTTGTCCAGTGTTGCACAGAAGGGAAAGGCAAGCATAAGGGAAAATGCACTGCTAAGATGGTCTTCAGTCTTCCTGCAAAACTATGACCGAAAAGAAGAACATTTGCGCTCTATATGGAACATATGGAGTAAGGATTTATGGACTGATGAGTCTAAATTTGGAATTGGGATTACTTTGCGCATGAGAAGCACAAAATGCAACCGACTTCTCAGACCGAACTTTGGAGGTGTGGAAACATATCTTGCATATTTCTTTGAAAAAATTAAAGCAAGACAGAATCTCAAATGGCATCCTACTACCAGGGCTGAACAATTTGGGAAAATATCTAATTGCGATAATATTGCGACTGCAATTTAAATTTTATTTTGTACAAAATAAGGTCCAGGCCTGAATGTTGTGTGCCAAACAAAGTAAATTGTGGTTGCGATGTCACAACACCTAAAGGTTTGGTTGTCTCTTATGTACAGGCAGTTCACAAGCTTTGTGTCATTAGGTTAAAATTTCCCCTCTTGAAACATAAGACAATGATTTTGGTAATGTAGGCTATAATTTTCAAAAACTGCAGCTCTTGTTATTTGAAAATCGCACTCTCTTAATCTTTCATCCCTACCTGCTCCCTGTATAGTGCACTGCGTAGGTCATAAAACTGTGACTCTAACCCACATCAGACACTGAATATTAGCTGGAGAGTCATAGCGTTTATAAAATGGCTTTCTGTTTAATATATAATGCACTATTCGAGTGCAGATGCCTACCTTTCATAACCTATGAAGTGCACTACATAGGGAAAAGGGAGCCATTCAGCCCAAGTCTTTGGAAAAAACGCAAGCTGTAATAAAGGCAAAGGATGGACACACTAATACTGAACAATTTGATGATATGTTTAGTTGCAGAGGTTTTGGTATGATTTTCTGTTAAATATGTTTTCTGCTGTTTTGCACTGAATAACATACTTAATTGCTGTTATGACTGGAAAAGTAGGATGAAAAAAGGGATGTTTGAAGGATGAAATGAAGGATGTTTTCAGACTTTTGCACAGTACTACACAGCAATTGATGTAGGTTGTGTGTTGACTAGTTTAGCTTATAGCAAGATGACAGAGATGACATGGACATTTTCACACAGTTTTGAATTTAGTTTTAGAAATTTGAAATTTGAAAACAAACAAAACATCTGCAGGACAAGCTACACTCCCCAACACTGAAGAAAAAGTTCAGTGGGTGGACCATAAAGGGTTGAGTGATGCCACAGAAAAACCACATTTGGTTCCCTAAAGAACCAGGTTTGAAAGAGAGTTGTGAGTATGAAGAACCTTTCAAAGACCTAAAGAACTTTCACACAATATAAAGGTTCTTTACTAATCAAAGGCTTCTTTTTAGAACTTTTACATTATCTGGAGGCTTTTTCAACTTGGAAAGAATCCTCACATTCAAACATCTCATTTGCAAAACTGGTTCTCTGAAGGATCATCCATCGAAAGGTTCTTTATCAAACCAAAAGTGGTTCTTCTATGTCAAAAGTCCGATTTTAATCGGCCCCTGGCTTCTGTTTTAGTGTGTGTTATAAGTGTGTATGCTGCACTTCTTCCTTCCACCTGATGGTGGCAGTAGTGCTATAAAATCACAGTGTAATGCACAGCACTGCGGTAACAAAGTTAGCTAAAGTTTAAGAGCCTTTCTTCTCTGAATAGACCTGCAGCTGAATGACATTTAGTCCAGAATGCAATCATAAATCTCAAACTAACACTGAGAACCAGAGACGTTGATGGAATTTGGAACTTTTTCATCGAGAGCCGCCGCAAATGAGCCTCAGGAGAGAAACTAAATCACCAACTTCTTTTCAGAGCAAATTCAAATTCAGTTGAGTAAATATTAACCCTTTAAGACTGAACAATCACGGCTGTTACGCTGTTTAATCTGCTCTTTTGTTTAATAAAGTGATTTCTGAATAGTTCTGCATTTATTATATGTAAAGATCAAACTGAAAATGTATAGATTTTTACCTATTTTTATCTAGTCTGATCAAATAAACACTTAAATAGGAAAATGTATGCGTGACACGTTTTGCTGTTACTCTTAAATAATTTAATAATTAGTTACAAGCACTGACTGATCCAAGTCCAATACAACAACAGGCCTTGTGCATCTTGTATACAGTGATAGGAAACACAGAGTCTATGTGTATTTTTTAAACTATTTTTTTAAATATTTTGAATAATTTGTAAATAATATTTCGGCCTCAGATATTTTTACACTGTATAATTTGGCCCTCTTTACAAAAAGTTTGGACACCCCTGTTCTATGTCATCACTAAAAGGACCCTTTCTAGAATCTTTACTTTTAAGAGTGTATGCATATGAATATACTGCACCTGCGTTCTCAGATTCATTGGTGCTTCTGGTCATGTGAGTCTTCAGGTTCTCTTCATTTACAAGAATTTCTTCATACAATCTGTCACAGTCTTCTGAATCAGGTTTGCTGACTTTAGTAATCTTTGACTTTGGATTTATATATGTATTCTTCCTCATCTCCATTCTGCTCTCTTCAGCCTGGTCCTACAGACGTGTGTGAATCAGTTCGGATAGGTTCTCCACAGGGCTTTAACAATGGTTGAAATGTGTCTTTTAAAGTGCTTCTGTTCTTCTGAACGCCTACTTCCTTCCTCCTACTAATTCTGTTTACTGGTGTCCCAATAGGCTACAACATGTCAGATGTCAGGCTGTGGACATGACAAACTGCCCCTTTATAAACTGAGAATTCAAGACCAGAAGCTGGGTATGTAGCCTGCGCTCTGTCCACAAAAGACCCAGATTATTATCTTTGAAGTCAGGGACTGATCATGTTCTTGTGAGGCCTCCCAAACTCTAATAATAACACTAAATAAATACAAGCCCATTTCCAAAAAAGTTGGGATGCTGTGTAGAATGTAAATAATAATAGAATGCAATGATCTGCAAATAACGTAAACCACATTTTAAAAGAAAATACTACAAAGACAATACACCAAATGTTGAAACTGAGATTTTATTGTTTTTAGAAAAAAATATGCCCGTTTTGAATTTGATGCCAACAACACGTTCCAAAAAAGTTAGGACGGGGGCATGTTTACTACTGTGCTGCATCACCTCCTCTTTTAACACCACTCTGTAAGCGTTTGGGAACTGAGGAGACACTGCTGTAGTTTTGAAAGTGAAATGTTTTCCCATTCTTATTTGATATCAGATTTCAGCTGCTTAACAGTTCAGGGTCTCCATTGTCATATTTTTCATTTCATAATGCGCCAAATGTTTTCAGTGGTGGCAGGTTTAGCGCCCGGACTCTTTTAATACAGAGCAATGCTGCTGTAATACATGCAGAATGTGGTTTGACATTGTCTTGCTGAAATGATCAAGGCCTTCCCTGAAAAAGATGCAGTCTGGATGAGAGCATACGCTGCCAAAACATGTATGTATCTTTTAGCATTAATGGTGCCTTCACAGATGTGCACGTCACCCATGCCATTGCGCTAATGCCCCCCCTATACCATCATGAAAACTGGCTTTTGAACTGTGCACTAATAACAAGCTGAATGGTCTTTAGCCCGGAGGACACAGTGTCCATGATTTCCAAAAAGAATTTCAAATGTTGATTCGTCGGTTAACAGGACACTTTTCCACTTCGCCTCCGTCCATTTTGAATGAGCTCGGGCCCAGAGAAGGTGAGAATGAGCGTTTCTGGATCCTGTTTATATACATTTTCTTCTTTGCATTTTAGAGTTTTAACTTGCATTTGTGGATGCAGTGATGAACTGTGTTCACAGACAGTGTTTCTGAGCCCATGCAGTGATTTCCAGTACAGAATCATGTCTGTTTTTAATGCAGTGCTGCCTGAGGGCTCAAAGATCACAGCCAGCAAATACTGGTTCTTGGCCTTGTCCCTTACATACAGAGATTTCTCCAGACTCTCTGAATCTTTTAATGATATTATGAACTGTAGATGATGAAAAGCAACAGTTCTTTGCTATTTTATGTTGAGAAACGTTATTTTTTAAATTGTTAATTCATGTTAATAACCTTCAGGTGTTTTTTTTTAGCATTACACAACTTCACCAGCCTTTTGTTGCCCTTGTCCCAACTTTTTTGGAACATGTTGTTCGCATTAAATTCAAAATGGGCAAATATATTTCAAAAAACAATCAAATTTCTCAGTTTCAACCTTTGACATGTTGTCTTTGTAATATTTTCAATTAAATATATGGTTTAAATGCACATTGTTGTATTTTGTTTTTACTTTTTGCACAGCGTCCCAACTTTTTTGGAAATGTGGTTGTAAATAGTGATGTTTGTGTGTCTACCATAGAGAGAAGTTGAATGGCTAGAAGTGACCCTCTCCGCTATTATGGCTGTTTTTCAGTGGCGTTTTCTGCATTGTTCAGTAATGACCAGAAATAACAGCCTTCACTGGTTCCCCTCCGCCAAGATGCCACAGTATAAACCCTGAGGGGCCTGACAACAGATAACAGATGTCTTGTTTTATTTCATTTATTCAGTCATTACATTAAATATATACATATTCAATGGCTATTCGATCATTTAATACTTTGGCTTTGTGGTTTTGACACACAGATATCAGGGTGTGGACCTCACAACCTGCCATGGTGTCTTAAGTGTTGGGAACTCAAGACTAGAAGCTTTTCTGACCACATAGACTGTGCTTTACCTAAAAAAAGAACCAGATTCTTATCTCTGAAAGTCAAATTCTCATTACTGGAGCAGAACCACTGGCGACTTTATAGCTAAAACCACATTTGTAGCTTAGGGTCTGATATTGAGGCCTTGAAACTACATTTATATTACTTTGTCTTTAGGGAACAAAGTCAGACCCTTACACTGGACCTTTGTTTCCAACAGTGTGGCAGATAAAGTTTTCTAGACATGGAGAGAAGCTGCAAACATAATGCTCGCTGCTCACACTAGGCTTCTCTTAAGCTAATATAAACATTAAAGCTAATATAAAATAACTCCATTCCATCCTGATATATGACAAAAAAGCTGATGGTAGCAAAACAGTCATAACATAGCAATCCAGTAAATATTAAAAACCGTAAACACTTTTTAAAAAATGCATGTGGATTTCTCCTTCAAGCACAGCAGCTGAATGCTGAAACATCATCACTGAAGTGACTGAAGTTAACCTGAAATCAAAACTGACATTTTCTTTACTTGTTACTTGTTGTTTCCTGTCTCTGGTCGTATTAAGCTTCATCATTCCATACAGTTCACAAGATGCAATTTTGGTTTTTATGTTGTCATCAGTAAAAATGTAATGGTGTCATTCGAGTTCAACTACACATCATCTTGGCGCTGGCCGAGAGTATACAGTTGAAGTAACAGTTGTCAGACTGTGGTGCCAATAAGGACTAAGCTCTGCTGCCATCAAGAGCCTCCCAGCTCACACAGGTTGTTATGACACTGTTCACCTTTTTGAGCACAGAGGTTTCTTTTTCCTATCGTTTTCAATAAGACATCATGTTTGGGTCACTGTGTTTGCATGCTGGGCAACCCATGTCAGTTATGACATGAGAATGAATGGTGTTTTATATGCGGTCAGGTCCATAATTATTTGGACAGTTGCACAATTTTTATTGCCTCTGTACACCACCACAATGGATTTGAAATGAAAATCAAGATGTGACTGAAGTGTAGACTTTCAGCTTTTATTCAAAGTGTCTAACACTGCATTAACCGTAACGCTGCATTAACTGGAATTACAGCCATTTTTGACATAGTCAATCCATTTTTACAGGTTTGAAGGAGCAGAACAAAGCGTTTAGGCTGCAGGTGGGAGGTGACAAACAGTGCAGATTTTCTGCAGGAGTCGGAGGGGGAAGCATGGGGTAAAATCTTGTGGGAACTACTGACCTTCAGGGACAATGTTTCTCCTTATATTTATTTATTCAAAAACCTTGCTGAGGGGGTGAAGCTGCAAGGACAGCGGTAATGTCCGCAGCCACAGCAGGGGCAGCCCTGAAATCCTGCTTTTCAGGTGGCTCAGTGGCGATGTTCTGGACCACCAGAGAACAAGAACAGTAACTACTTCAACCACAGACAGGGCACTGGATACATAGTGTCTTAGGCTGTGGGTAGAACTAGAGCGGTAGCAATTTCAGCTGCAAACAGGGACAATGGGAAGGATGGCTGATAAGGACAGACTGCAAACTGGGGGACTGGAAAGCCCACAGCTTTGCCGATTGGGAGCTAGGTCCCGGCTGACCAGCAGCACTGGAGCTGGAGCAGGACTGACCTTCCATGGGGGAAACTCCTTCTTTGACCATGAGTTGAGTGTTGCATGCAATGAAAAGGGGAGTGATGCTGCTTTCAAGAGCAAGTTTGGTGGTTCGATGTGCGGCTTGATGCGATTCATGTTCGAGGATGTGAAATGATTGTTGTTCACTCTGACTGCTGAAGTAGATCTAAAAGAGCATTAATTGAACATTTTTTAAAATTTACGTTATTATTACCATTTATTATATTTGTATGGTGTTATTTATGTTGACAGACTGTCCACTACTTTCCACCACCATGATGAAAATAGTGTTGGTGTTACAATTTATAAAACCAAGACAACATGGAAACAGCATGACACCTTTTTCTGAAGCATGTTTGGCCAATAGGAAAGGTGTCTTCAGAAGACAGTGGCATTATCACCTGTAGTAAGACATGAAACGAGCAGGAGCCAGTCATTCTCAGGAGGAGTTACAAACTACACACAGGTAAAGGACATAACAAGGGGACCAGCTTATACACATATAAGATGTATCTCAAAGTTAAGGTTGCAGACGAGGTAGGAGAGACCTTCTTAGCACTGGTACAGGAAGACTCCTCTTCATTGCTCACTCATGCACAATTGGGTGGCCTGAACAGTCTGTATCAACATGTCGCTGTTTACTGACATGAGCAATGCAGCATGTTCAAATATTGTGTTTAAAAAGTTACATTAAAACTTCATTGCAATCTTTTGTGTTGTGAACATCTTCACTGTTTTTAAACTGTTTGAGCTGTGCGTGATGGAAGGATACACTAGCTGCATCCTTTGCTTCTCATAAAAGGACGCATCTCTCGACAGCATTCAAAGGATCCTACAAAACGGAAGTGCCTTCAGTGACGTAACAGTGAGAAATGCAGCCGTCCTTGGCTGCAAACTCAGCTCTGAGACATGAGTACCGACACTGACGACAGATGAAAAACACCTGGGGACAATAATGACTCGGTGGGGTTACAAACTGTGAGAAACAGAGGGGAAAACTAGGAGGAAACAATATACAAAAGAAAACGGGGCACTGACCCCCTTACTTACAAAAAGAGAGGTTTACAAGTCTTTAGACAAACTCATACAACAGGCTAACACACCCAATCAGAGCCTTCCAGACATTAACCTTATAGGAAAAAGTGATGAACAAGAAAGAGAGAGCACAAAACAAACACCACATACCCCCCAGGATCGTAACAATGTGTGTGTGTGTGTGTGTGTGTGTGTGTGTGTGTGTGTGTGTGTGTGTGTGTGTGTGCTCTTAATTTTCCATGTAAGAATTAAATTACAAGCCCCTTGCTTATCTTGAAACAAATGCCAAGAATTATAGAAATAAAGAAACAAAACTC